CCCCATCCTCCTCCTCATCCTCCAAGACCTGCTCTTGGCTGGCCATGAAACTGGGGGACTCCAACAGCAACTCTGAGACCAGCTGTGTCAGCTCGGATAGGAAGTCAGTTAGGCAAAGGGGTGGATGGTAGACCAACGGAATCCCTATACTATCCCTAGTTTTCAGGCTCAAGTACATACTCTCGAAATGATCTGTTTTCCGGATAGGTATCCTGGTCAAAGAGAGGTTGTTCTTGTGGACCAGAGCCACTCCACCCCCACCCCACCCACTTTCTCTTACCTGCTCATACACAGAATACCCGGCTGGGAGAGCTTGATTCCAAGTGATGGCACTATCCTCCCCCAGCCAGGGTAGTAAGACCACAGATAGGAAGCTATAAAGGATACTATTTATTTATTTATTTATTTACGTAAAATAAATCTAAATGGGGTTGAGTGATAGCAGATTCATTTAGAAATGTAATATGCCAAACTGTACTTTATTTGCTATGTCTGTTATGCCTTTTTGTTGTTTTGTGCCTCAAGTCATTCCTGACTTATGGCATCTCTAAGGCAAACCTATCATGTGGTTTTCTGGGCAGAATTTGTTCAGAAGGGGCATGCCCTTGCCTTCCTCTGAGACTGAGAGAGTGATTTGCCCAAGTTCACTAAGTGGGTTTCCATGGCCAAGCAGGGATTTGAAACCTGGTCTCCTACTGTCCTAGTCCAACACTCAAACTGCTATACCATGCTGACTCTTCTGTCATGCCTTACAATGCATAAACTAGAGATGTGTCCATATTTCAGTTAAACCATTAAACTTTTCCTCATTTTTAAGGTGGGCACTGTGGCCCTGCATGTTCTTACCCAATTTTGATTTTTAATAAAAAAAAATGAGAGGAAACAAAGTCATCTTCCCACACATCTGCACCCAAACACTCTCCCAGTTAAATATCTTGTTCCAGAGACAGTAGTTGGAGAGAAAAAGAAAGCTCTTCCTGCCCAGTCCTCTAGCCATTGGTCATTTCTGTGGTATCTCTTTGGAAATATAGATTTTAACAGACTGTTGTGATGCCTTGAGAAAAGAGGCCACCCAACTTACTGGAACTGGTTCGGTTGCTATGGGGAGAAGGCCACCATGCTGGGAGGGCCCTCCTGTCCTGGCTATCCCCAGCAGGCTGTGGTGCAGGGTTCTGGGGCCCGGATTGGTTGCTGGGGGTGAGTATGGGTGGCACTTCCTATCTGGGACAGGACTACAATTCTCAGCATGCACTGGGAGTGGAAGTGCCATGAGATTGGCTGGTGCTGGAGTAGCGAGCCATGGGATTGGTTAGTGAGGCTGGAAGGGGTGGGACTGACTGGCCTCCCAGGTTCTGATTGGTTGGTTGGCCTATAAAAGGCCACATGGTGCCTCTGGCTGGTGCCATACTCATTTGGCTCTCTTGGGTGGTGCTTAAGAAAGCCCCAGGGGAATTCATTCACCATTTATCTTACCTTCTGAGTGCTTCGATCAACAATGCCATCCTGTCAGAGCTTTGCTCAGCCTGTTTCGCCTCTTTTGACTATGCTGTCAGGCTCATCCAGGCATGTGGCGGGGGAGCTCTTCTGGCAAAATATGACATCCAGTCACCATTCTGACTGCTGTCTGTCCACCTCAATGACTTCTGCCTCTTGGGCTTCAAGTTCAGGAATCAGTGGTATTTTGACTTCCAGATGGGCTGTTCTATCAGTTGCGCAGCATTTGAAACATTCAGTTTCTTTATGGAGTGGGAAGTCAAAATACAGGCCATGTCCCCCCCCCTTGTCACCCATTACCTTGACACTTTCCTTTTCATGGGTGAGGCCAGGAGTGATGCCTGTACCAAACTCCTGGCCACATTTCAAGGTCTCACAGCTGATCTGGGCATCCATTAGCAGCTGGCAAGACAGAGGGTCCCACCACATCCCTCACATTCCTAGGAATCCAGCTATTTTGGTGGTGGGTGTCTCCTTCTTGCTG